GAGGGATACGGCGGGACACACGAGTGCGAAATATGCGGTATGAGCTTCCACGGTAAACTTCAGCTGAATAAGCACAGGCTGGGGCACGTGAAGATGTCTTCGCAAAAGAAGCAAAAGAAGCAAGCGCAAAAACACAAGCTTTCGAAAATACGAAGTAGCCAAGAAAAGTGTTCCCAGGGTCCGATCGAGTGCAACGTCTGTCACAAAGTTTTCAAAAAGAAGAAGTACTTGAACGTCCACATGACTCTTCACGGGGCGCCTCATATATGTCATGTTTGCGGCGCGAAGCTCACTTCCGAGTATTATTTGAAGATCCACATAAGACGGCACAACAAAGAATTCACGGAATTCTGTGAGGTCTGCAAGAAGGGATTCTACCTGAAGGCCACTCTGAAGACGCACATGAGCGTTCACACGGACGAGAAGCCGTGCACGTGCGAGATTTGCCACAAGTCTTTCGGGAATCGTGTTTATCTCAGGAGCCACATGAAGATCCACAGCCGACCGGAGACCAGGAAAAGATACAAGTGCGAGATTTGCAGCTTCGAAACGTTTTACAGTTATTGTTACAAGGAGCACATGTGGACGCACACTGGCGAGAGTCAAGTGCCCTGCGAAGTATGTGGAAAGCTCATTCGCCGGCAGTACATGAAGATTCACATTAGAATTCACACTGGCGAGAAGCCCGAGGTCTGTGAGTTTTGCGGGAAAGCCTTCAGCTCGCGAAAGTACTTGATAAAGCACAGAAGGACGCACACTGGCGAGAGACCCTACAAGTGTAAGATTTGTGAGAAAAGATTCACTCAGCGTGGAACTCTGAGCGCACACCTCAGACGCCACGATAAGTGAAATGTCCAGAATTACTTGTGTCGATACGTTTCATTCGGATAATACATATGTATGCATGTACTAATAGGCCATTAATCATTACTTACTACTAATCGTCGTTAAATCGATGCTATTGGAAGGGGCGAGCCCGTCTGTTCTGACTTTACGACAGCAACTGAAAGTGGTTTTGGTCAAACGGAGGATTTATACGACAGTAAGCTATCTGTACTTTACGCCATCGTCGTCCGGTGTATTAGTCGGTAGTGTTCTCGAATAAAGAGCAATCGCTTTTCACTTCGCGTGCTTTATTAATTTTTATTCTCTTCCCGACGTCCTTAGTCTTCGAGCTTCATCGTGGCCTCAGCCGTTCAAGTAATCGAAGTGAGGTCACCTGGTTAGGTTTTTTTTTTTTAAATTTCTTTTTGTAGTCGGTCCAAGATTCACACCAAAGTAAAGTCTCGTTACTTCCTGTAGCTCTCTGATAAGTGCCGTTATCCAATTGACACAAGCTATTTCTTTCCAGGAATCTGAAAGGGCAGGGCCCCAGGGTACGAGCAGAACTGAACGAACTTTCTTTAGAGAGTGCAAGTAGGCCCTTTCGATGTCCCGTTTGTGCGACTTCATTTTCTTGCAAGAATTCTATGAACTCACATATGAAAATGATTCACGGTAAACCGAGGCGTTACAGCTGCCAATTGTGCGACTACAAGACCATCTGGCCGAACAATCTGAAGGTTCATCTCGACCGGCATGCCGAGCCGCTTGAGGAAGTCGTCGCCTGCGACCTCTGCGATCGACTCTTCTCGTCGCGCAATCTTCTCTTTAATCATCGTCGAAAGCATCGGCCCACTTACCTTCCCCAAGATCCAACGCAGCCACCGATGTACGAGTGCGACCGCTGCCATCAGACGTTCTCGAAGAAATTGCACTTGGCCCGTCATCGTGCGAGTCACTTGGGCAGGGTGCGAGTTCGGTGCGCCGAGTGTGACAAATGGTGGCTCAGCGAGGAAGAGTTGCGCGAGCACATTGGTCTTGCCCATCCGGAGGGACCAGTCGAATGCGACGTCTGTAAGAAATTCTTTAAGAAGAAGAGCTACTTGGCGCTGCACATGGCTCTTCACGAGAGGCCTCATGTCTGTCACATTTGCGGGGCGAAGCGTCGCTCCGACTATATGCTCAAGCTGCACATTAGACGGCATACCAAAGAGTTTCGGGAATTTTGCGACATCTGTGGAAAAGGTTTCTATAACAAGGCAACTCTGAGACTTCACGCCATCAGTCACACCGACGCCCGACCTTACGTCTGTCACGTCTGTCAGACGTCCTATCGCTCCCCTGGCTATCTCAAGGTTCACCTGAAGACGCATAACGATCCCAAAACCAGAACTAGGTTCAAGTGCGCCCTGTGCCAATTCGAGACGTACTATAAAAAGAGCCTGAAGCAACACGTCAGAACTCATACTGGGGAAAATCAGGTGCCGTGCGAGGTTTGCAGGAAGCTCATCAACAGGGACTACATGACTACGCATATGCGCGTTCACACTGGCGAGAGACCACATATTTGCGAAGTGTGCGGCAAGACGTTCAGTTCGAGGAAGAATCTTCTCATTCACAGGAGAACTCACACCGGCGAAAGACCCTACAAGTGTGAACGATGCGATAAGTGGTTCACACAGCACGGATCCTTGAAGGCCCATCAGCGTAGGCACGAGACTGGCCGCACCTCCGATTGAGGCTGCTTCCCTTAGCTTCGGCAAACCTGTGTTCTCAGATGGACCAAGTGGTAGGCGAATTCTCCAAAATAATAATAATTTTTCTAAGGATCGCGTTCTCGTTTGGCCTTCGATCTCTGCGAGACTTGTAAATTTCTCTCTGACATTACTACTATCGGATGATGCAGCGATCCATTTCAGTATCTTTAGCAAAGATAAACTTACGAGTTTGTTTCACTTCCAGGTTTAGTCGTAATGGACACGTAGCTCGTACGCCAATTCAAAGAAGAAGGGAAGCTCAATGGAAAGCTTTAGGGCGAAGTAAGGCTTTCACTTGGTTCCAAATCAGCTGAAAGAGGGAGCTAATTAATTGTTAGTGGCTACGGGATGCGCGAGGAAACTTCTCGTGAGGTTGCTTCAAGAAGCAAGGTTGGGTTTCATCGCGAAAGCTGTCGGCCAACTTTCTCTGTTCATGGGATGAAATTCAACCGTCTTGAGCTTGTCGCTGCTATTAGACGCGAAATCATCGATTTTTTTATGGCAACGGATATCATCGCAAAAAGAAATTGAGGCTGCATAAAAACGTTGAACAGTTTTAAAAGCTGTCCTGCGATTTTACTGATTGGAGCGAACGGCTTATCGAAAAACACCAATCCCATGGAACGAGCCTTGATCAGACGAAGATTCGTCACGATATTGTCACATTCGCAGGAGTCGGGCTGCTTTTTAGACTGGCCAAGGGACGTTCAGACTCCGCTCAATGTATTTGCAGAGACACGCTAGTCCCGACTTTCTGGAATGATACAGACGCGACTTTCTGAACTTCTAAATACAAGGCCAACGTAAGAAAACGTTTGGCTACCGAAGATGCCAGAGTGAATTTTGTGTGGTGTGAAATTTGCGCAAAGCCATTAAACGAGTCCTATGAAGGGAATGTATGTCAAAAGATATGAACACATGGATGTGCGTGTGCGTGTGACTGGGATGTGGGAAGGAGGTACTGTTTTAGCGCAGCTTCTGCCTGAAACGCGTCACATGAAGGAGTTCTCTCCAGAATCCATCGCCCGAGTAATGCGTTAGCACTCATATTGGAAGAGCTCGCGGTCAACTGTAATTCTGCATTGTACATATAACTTAGAGCTCCTAGGAGTCCACTAGTCTATCTTAAGTATAATTTAAATTTAATTACGTTTAAAGATGAATAAAGTGTTTTTAAGATGTCACTCTGATTCTCATGGAACCCTGAAATTATACGGTAACACCGAGAAGATCGCTTCTTCGAAAGCCCCACGAAGAGGCGCATAACGAATGAATGGCAGAATGAAAGAGTGAAAGCACGGCGCAAGGCAGGAGCGCAGGCGATATTATAACTCGGTCATGCATGATCTTGGACGTGAGAGATTCCTTGGCCGAAGGTTCTAGCTGTCAGCCGGTTAGAGCGTTCGAGCGCACTGATCACTCCGTCCTTGCTTTCAGGTGTGCAGCGGACTTCCACGAAGCCCTGACCAAG